CACGCTCAGTCTTTGAGTGATCAAGGAAAGACAGTGAAAAGAAATGTCACAATATGGGAGACAGGCAAATATTGTCCCAATTAAAAAAAATAAAGGAACAGGGTAGAATTTGAACACTTGAAAAAAGCCAGTAAGCTTGATTTTAATTCCTGGCAAAATTCTAGAACGGTTTATTACAGGAATGGCTTTTGAACATTTAGAACAGAAAGTGATGATCGCTAAGAGCCAGTGTGGCTTCAAGAATATGACATGCCAGGCTACATTTTCTTTCTTCCTTTTTTTTTTACATAGTTGCCAGATTAGAGAAACACTGTAGGCATAGTATACCTCGTTTTCAACTGAATATTTGAGAAAGTCTTTCATGCAATCTGTGTTCATTGAGAGGCATAATTCCCAGGAATAAGAAGGAGCTAGGCCCATTCATTCTGGACCACACCTATAGTACTATAATAAGTTACGAGCATCACATTTTGGGAAGGACATTGATAAAATGGAGAATGTCTGCAGGAGGACCACCAGAGAGTAGTGATAGGCCTGAGGTCTATGCCATATCAATCAATCAATCAAAAAGTATTTATTAAGTGCCTACTATAAGATATGCCAGGGGGCAGCTGGGTGGCCCAGTAGATAGAGTGCTGGGCCTGGAGGCAGGAAGACTCATCTTCATGAGTTCAAATCCTAGGTTGCTGAAAGGGGCAGGAAAAAAGGACATTAAAAAAATAAAATTTAGAAGAAAATCAGTCCATCAAGTAAACATCCTTTTAAGAAGGCATCAACTGTTCTGAGAAGACTAGAGAGAGACTCTAGTCTCTCTCAGAGACAAAAGCCTGGGCTTAATATGGGGATGGCTACAAGGCATTGTTGTCCAACAGTTCATTTATGTATGACAGTTTTCAAAAGTTCTAAAGGATAAAACTGAGAAATATAAATCACAGAACTGTCTGGGGCCTGTGACAAAATTGTTTGTTGTTTGTTTGTAATATACTTGACAGAATTATAGATTGTTGTGTTTTTAACCTAAATTAGAAACGGATCACTCCTCATGAATAGGCTCTGATTTGAGGCATTAGAAGTCACAGGTGAGTAGATGAAGATTGAAGAGGAGAAACCAGGAGAATGAGAAGACACACCAGTTATCTGAAGAGAGAAACTGACAAAGAATTGTCCCATGTCACTGTACAGAAGACAGGAACATCTCAAGGAGATACTCTTACTTTGGACGTACTCTCTGATACTATGTGCATTGGTGGGAGAGTGTGACCCAGGTTTGTGAATGGACTGTGTTCAAATTATTTTTAATTTTGCCTTCTATTGAGTAAATGTTATGTTTTTTCTTGGGTTTGCATTCTCACTCAGTCAATGTTCCATGTCTAATGACTGATGCAACAGTATCACTGTGATTGATTTTGTGCAAATTGAAACACATAAGTGGGGGCTCAGAAGCTAAAGTGGCAAATAGTAGGAGTGTATCCCCCCACACATGCTAGGGTTACCCACTCCAGACCCTGAGAATAGATAGTGGCTATGTGGCTACTCGGTCTGGAGACACCACTCTGACTTGTCAGCATCAACAATCTGGCTCCAGCCCCAGGAGAGAAGATTGAGGGTAAGCAGAGGCTGTTATTTGCAGGCTAAACTTGTAAAGTCAGCAAGCTATTTCTTCTTCTTGTAGGCTATCAGTTACACTAGTCCCTTCAGGGTGTCCTTAGTCAAAACTCTAGAAACCATGAGTGTGAATTCATCCTTGCAGCACCTGGCCTGTGGAGGAACTCTTCCCTCTGCCCCAGTGTTTGGTGGCTAAGCCCTGCCTTCCTACTGCTGTGAAATGCTTAATATATTCTTCTCCTGGGAAGAGTTATTGACACTCACTAGTCCAGAGTAAGGATGCCTTTCCTCTTCCTGGTGTCCAGTTATCAACAACCTAGGAGAGGTAATGCAGTTGAAACCACAGAGACAAAAAGGGAGTACGCATGGACAGTGCCCCCGGATATTGCAATGGTATTTCTGCCTTTGCCAAAGTTCCGTCCAGCCTGCATCTTTAAGTGATGGGGGAACAGTCAATATTATTGTTGCCGTTCTAAGCTGAAGGTCATGAGAGGCAGAATTGTTTAGGGATTATTAAATCAATCTACTTTCCAGTCAAGGCTTTTAGGCTGAATTATCCTCTCTGAGTTTCATTTTCTTCCTCTGTGAATTGAGGGTGTTGGCCCTCGTTTTCCACAAAAAGAAGCTGAGGCCTAGAAGGATGATATGATTTGTCCAAAGCACACAGCTATTTTAAAGATAGAGCTGGCATTAGGGCTGTGGGTTTCCCAACTCCCGGTCCAATACTATTTTAAATGAACAAGCATCACTGGTACTATTTGTTGTTTAGTTAGGTCCCACTCGTCGTGACCCGCTTTGGGGTTTTCTTGGCAAAGATTCTGGAGAGGTTTGCCATTTCTTTCTCCAGCTCATTTTACAGATGAAGAAACTGAAGCAAATAGGGTGAAGTGACTCGCGCAGAGTCACACAGCTAGTAAGTACCTGAAGCTAAATTTGAACTCACAAAGATGAGTCTTCCTGATTCCAAGCCCAGTGCTCTATCCACTGTACCACCCAGCTGCCCAATATGAGCTAAGTACTGTGCTAAGTGCTGGGGATAGAAATAAAAAGCCAAGACAATCCCTGCACTCAAGGATCTTATGTTCTAATAGAGGAAAACAATATACCTAGGGGAGTGGAGTGGGGAGGACTTTTGTCCAGAATTTTACAAGGACACTATGAGATTTTAAACACACACACACACACACACACACACACACACACATATACACACATACACACTTTCCATAAAATGACATTACAAAAGATCAAGGAAAACATTCGGTAAAAATAAAAATTAATAAAAAAATTAAATGAGAGGGTGATTTAAACCCATATCTGTCTTGACTTCAAGTTCAAAGTTTCACTGTCACCTAAGTATTCTTTGCTGAAAATAGGAACATGCAAATAAGGACTCTCAGAGCTGTAGGCTCAGACATATTCTTTTATTGACTAGTATGACCAGTTCTCACCAGCAACTAACCCCTCTAATCAAATTGATAAATCAACAAGCATTTATTAAGCACCTACTATATTTCAGGACTATTATTAAGCACTTACTATATTTCTGGCACTATGCTAAGCACTGGGGACACTGAGAACAGTCCCTGCTCTCAAGGAGCTCACATTCTAATGGGGGAGACAACATGCAAAGCAATTATATGAGAAAGATACATATGGGATAAATTGGAAATAATCTTGGAAGGCATTAAGCTTAAGGAGAATGAGGACAGGCATCTTATAGAAGGTGGGACTTTAGCTTAGACTTAGAGGTGAGAAGGGAGAAATTTCCAGGCCTGGGGTAGCGCCAGGGGAAACTGAGGGAAAATGGCCAGAGTTGGGAGCTAGAGTGCCTTATGCAAGGAGGCCAATGTGGCTGGATCATAGACAATGGTAAGACAAAAGTTTTATTTGTGAAGGTCCAAAATGAGTCCAAGATCCAGAAAGACCATCCAATCAGGGACAAGAGAGGTGATCACTAGAGACACAATGAGCAGTGGGTCACTAGGAAATTGGAGTATGTGTCAGGAATCCCACTTTTGTTGTTTAAGTAGGGTAGGGTGGGATCAGCATTATGGCTGATTTGACTGCCATAAAACTTCTTATATATAGCTTGTCTGCCCGAAGCCAGGACTGGTTCTGGAATAGTAAGAAGACTGCAACTATAACCTCCTTCATTCAGATGTGATGGATAAATAGAATTTACATAGTCAAAGTTCAAATTAGTTTTATTGGTAGCCATGTTATACCAATGACTCATACTGATTTTCAGTCCATTAAAATTCCTCGGTATTTTTCATAAACAATTAAATAACCTTCCTCCCCCATCCTGTACTCATTAAGTTGATTTTTTGAACTCAAGTATTGGAGTTCACATTTGCAAATATTCAACTGCCATTAAACTAATGGCACAGTGGATAGAGTGCCCAGGCCTGGAGCCAGAAAGAGGAGTCTTCTTGACTTTGAATCTGTCCTCAGACACCCACTAGTTGTGCGACCCTGGGCAAATCACTTAACCCTGTTTGCCTCAGTTTCCTCATCTATAAAATGGAAAATGGAAAAGGAAATGGCAAACCACTCCAGTATCTCTGCCAAGAAAACCCCAAATAGGGTCCCAAAGTCTGACGTGACTGAAAAATGACTTAAAAATAACTAACTAATCAATATTAAAGCTGAAAAGTCTGAACCCAGTGTGGAAATTAAGGGGGTGGGGAGTTAGGCAGGCAATTATAGAAGCTAGTCCTCTTTCTGTTCTTCCTCACTCCCATGACTTTGCAGTCAGGCTGACAAGTCTCAACAAATTATAAAAATTTTTCAAAGTGTGGCTGACTTCATTTGAATGGTGCTTCATTGCCAGAGTGATTCTGTATATTTTAGATTTTTTTTTCTTTCAGCACCACAATCAACATGGTAAAGCTTGGAATCTGACCAGATGTTCTCAATTGGCAGATTGGAACCTGTGGACTACAGGATGAGATGACTGGAGTCAACAATAGCCGCCCACATTGACCAAGTGCTTATTTTGGACTGAGTACTGTACTGCTTTAGGCAGTGGAGGGAGAGGAAATTGTAACTTTGGACCAATTATGAACCTTACTTCCAAAGACCCTTTTAATCTATTGAGGTGGGTGAGGTTTGGAGAGGATCAAAAATGCTTGGGTGGGGTTAACCCTTTGCAAAGGAAACTCCAACAGGGCATTTGGTATGATGCTGTGACTTTGAAACTGGCAGATATATGTATTAAGGTTTTTATTTCATATGAACAATGCTTGTTCCCTTGAAATCCTTATAATAAACAATTAGATTTATTAGGCTGGGCAATGGGGGCAAACCCAAACATAGATAATACTCTCTATCCTGGAAAAGTTACAGTTTAGCCTGAAAGATCAGAAAGGTTAACAGTATGAAACAGTGAATCAATTGATCAACAAGCATTTATTAAGCACCAACTTTGTGCCAGGCACTCATATACTAAAGGCATGTAGATAACTAGGTATTCAGAGCAAGAGAGAGAGTTCGAAGCATGCTGATGGGTTACAGAAGACTTTTTGAATAATGTGGGGTCTGAGCTGGGTCTCAGGGCTGGGGGTGGAGGGGGAGGATTCTTCTCCATTGCCCAGATGGAGGAAAGGGAGAGGATGTATGACCCTCTTGTATCCAGCTAAGTAGAAGCTTGGCTTAATGTTGTTATCCTGCTGGTTCCAAACGAATAAATGCGGGGTTTTAACTTTTTTAATGATTGACTCCACGTGTTCGAACTGAAGACTCATATGAAGTGGGCAAAGCGTTCAACACACACCAGGGCTCTTACAGGAAGTTTTAAGTGTGCAGAGAGCTTGTGGTTTAGACCTCAGTGTTTCCTGGCAAGGCTGAACTAGTCTGAGAAACCCAGGGAGGGATGAGGCCACAAATATCACACTGCTGTTTCAAAGAACCTACTTCATTGCCTCCACTTTAGAACTTTAACTGACAATTCTTGCTCTTTCCTGTTTCTTCTCTCCTCCCTGATCCAGGGTGCCTGAATATGAAGTCCCATATGGAAGTGAGCATAGGCATGCAGAGGGCATTGGCCAGCCCCAAGCTCTCTGCATGCCTATGGGGTGACCTTTCGATAATGACCCATCAAGGCTATTTGATGGAACCAAATTCTTTCTCATCCCTGCTATTGTTCATGCCATCTGATTGGCTTCTTGCTGACCTCCAGTCCAGAATGAATGTGGGTTGGTTCACAAGACAATGTGAAATGGTACAATGGTACAATGGAAAAACTATTGCATTTGGAATCAGTAGACCTAGGTTTGATTCCCCAATGTGCTGGTTACTACCTGTGGGACCCTAGGCAAATCAACCTGTCTGGGGCTTGGTTTCCTCACCTGCAAAATGAAGCAGTTGGACCAGATGGCCTTTAAGATCCATTATACCTCCAAAACTCTGATCCCTTTCAGTTCTGTGCTTTCTACCAATGTGACCTTGGACAAGTAATTACATCTCTCCAGGCCTCAGTTTTCTCATTAGTAAAAGGAGAAGGTTGGATTACAGAGCCTCCAAATTTCCTTTCAGTTCTTTGTCTATGGTCCTGTGAACTATGATTTTCTACTTCCTAGAATATTTGTGCAGGACAGCTATTGGGGAGCGGGGAGCAGTAATAGTCATTGAGGAGGATTGTGGGCAGCTCTGAACAGCACTGGGGAACCAAGTCTAAATTCTAAATTGTGCTCCTCCCAGTTTGCTATGGTTCATCCATCGCACCAAGCCGGGGAGTCGACACCTCCCTTTCTAGTTTCATGCCACAGGACTTGGATGTGTGTGTGTGTGTGTGTGTGTGTGTGTGTGTATGTGTATGTGTGTGTGTGTGTGTGTGATAGGGAATTTTATAGACCTGGGCTGACTGGACTTTAGGACCCAAGTTTGATTCTTCTCCTGTTAAGTAAACCTGTCCAACTCAGTTCTACATTCTAACATAGGTCACAGCAATGATTTCTCTCTCCCTCACAAAAGAGTAGACAAGCACAAACACTTCAAGACAAGGCTTTTCTCTTTTAGTTACACATGGTCACAACATCTGCATAGCCCAGCAAAGCTTTTTTTTTTTTAAACAATATCCATTATTCCCTACCTTCCTTCAAGGCTCAGTTTCTGTACTCTCTCAGCGGAAGTATTTCTGATACCCTTAGTTCAAGAATTTGTAACTTAGGGTCTATGAACTTTTTTTTTAATGTTAATAACCATTTCAGTATCATTGGTCCCTTTTGTATTCCTTTTTGTTTTATCTTATTCATTTAAAAGCATCATTCTGAGAAGGGTCCATAGGCTTCACCAGACTGCCAAGAGTCCATGACACAGAAAAGGCAAAGAACCCCGGCCTTGGTTGTTGGTATCCTCTCCCTTCTCCTCAAATGACTTCGTACTTACTTGTCTATGTGTTGTATGAACCCAGAAGGATCTAAGTTCCTTAAGGAAAAAGACTATTTTTTAGTTTATTTTTATCATCCTAGTACCTAGCAAAGTGTCTTACTTACTGGATTGAACAAGAAAACATCAAAGAATTCTCTTGTCAAGGGCAAGAATTGTCACTTGGTCATCTGGGGTCCCTTCAACCTCCAGTTCAGTGATACTATGGTCCATCCTCTTAATGGTTGCACCCTTAACTGCTTTTTCCTCTTTGACAATGGAGGAATCCTGCCAAGAGGCCACATTATCCTGGGCCAGGTAAACAAGTCTTCAGTCACTTTGGTTTCCATCGTTTGATATTTTTTCTCTCTCCCTTACAAAAGAGTAGATATACCCCCCACACATTGTCCATGACCAGAGATACTTAGGAAAAGTAGTAGCCCAACAGTAGAAAACACTCATAGGAATTTGTACCATGAATAGGGAAAACTGCAGTTTTGTTTGATTGGAAGGATCTTTTTTACATCTGTTCCCAAAGTGGAGCAGAGAGAAACTTCCCCCAGGAGAAATCATTCTCATTTTTCCTTTTCCTGGTGTGGAGGCTTTTGCTGATTTCGAGGCCTGGGCAAGGGAGGGCCAGTTTGCTGCTGGACTTTTGGAGAAGGCCTTTTCTGCTGCGGCTGGGGACGATGGCCAGGTACTGGGGGACAGCGACCAGGCACCTGGAGATGCTGCCCAGGGGCCTGAGGACGGTGACCACCTGGTTGCTGAGGATGGCGATCACCAGGTAGTTGTGGATGGTGACCTGGACTCTGATGAAGCTTTCGAACTCTCTCTTCCTTTGCTCTGGAGATTTTAATCTCCAGATTCTGATCTGTAACTGCAAAAACAAAACACATGTTTAGGTTTTAGAGAAGTGGTCTAAGTATAATATAGAACTCCGAGGGATGCAAGCTTCCTCACAATTTTGTTTGTTGTTGTTGAGCCATTTTTCAGTCATATCTGACTCGTTGTGACCCCATTTTGAATCTTCTTGACAAGAATATTGGAGTGATTTGCCATTGTTATAATGCTATTTCTAGGGACTATGCCATCAGACTACCTAGAGTAAGGGTTTTTAGACCAGAATCATATTTTGATGACTGTATTTTAATGTAATTATTTTTCTTTGTAATATTATGTATTTTATTTTATGCATTTAAAAACATTATTCTGAGAAGGGGTTCATGGCTTTATGAGAATGCCAAAGGGGTCAATAACACACAAAAAGTTAAGAACCTCTCACCTAGAATGAAATAGGATCGTGAGATTTTAGAGCTGGAGGAAACCTTCCAGGTAAGCTAGTCCACTTTTTCATTATATAGCCGAGGAAAATGAGGAACAGAGGAGAATAAAGTACAAAGAGATTCCAAGACAAATTGGACTTTTTTAGGCAATTGGAGTTAAGTGACTTGCCCATGGTCACACAGCTAGTAAGTGTCAAGTGTTTGGTCTGAGGTCGGATTTGAATTCAGGACCTCCTGACTTCAGGGCCAGTGCTCTATCCACTGTGCCACCTAGCTGCCCCATAAATTGGACTTTTGCCAAACTATGCAACATTCCAGCTTGGAGTGTATTTGCTAATCGCATTCTTGATTGGCTCATAAGGTTTTACTCTTTACTCAGTCTTCAGAAGGTCACAGGGAGTTCAAGTTCTGAGGCCCAAAGTTAAGAGACCCTCCCTCTGTCCCTCTCTTCCTTAGAGTCAGAGGACTCCTTGGCTACCAGTCATGTGCTTTACTGTAGGATTTCAGAAATAACAAGTGAAATCCATGATAGAAGTCTGTGACAGTCACAGCATGCTACTACTGTCTCCATCTTGTCTTCTTACCCCTTAGAGGTTTATCATTCCCAGAGCCTACATTAGATGGTGGTGCCCGCAAGAATCTGTCTCATCAGCTGCTATGAATTTGATTATCTTCTCTATAAAGATTCGCAGATCTTTATATCCAGCCCTCTCTGCTTTACATCCATCTGATTAACCAATTGTCTCCAGTACATTAGAGCTGGATGGCTGGTAGACATCTCAAACTCAACACATACAAAACAGAACAGAACTCATTCATCTTGCCCCACCAAGATCCTCCTCTCTCTCACACTTCCCTATTTTTTTTTAAGGCAATTGGGGTTAAGTGACTTGCTCAGGGTCACACAGCTAGTAAGTATCAAGTGTTTGGTCTGAGCCCGGATATGAACTCAGGTCCTCCTGACTTCAGGGTTGGTGCTCTACCTGCTATGCCACCTAGCTGCCCCCCACACTTCCCCATTACCATAAATGGCATTGCCATCCTCCCAGGCCCCCAGGCCCAGAACCTCAGTATCATCCTTGATTATGCATTCACACTCACCCCACGTATTCAGTCTGTTGCCAAATCCTATCATTTCTACATTCAATACATCACTCCTACATGTCCATGTCTCAAGTCACACAGCAAGCACTGTGATGGGGGGGGGGTCCCCATCACCTCCCAGGGCCCACTGGTTGGTCTCCCTGACTCAAGTATCTCCCCATTTTAATCCATCCTCCACTCAGCTGTCAAAGTGATCTTTCTAAAGTCCAGGTTTGACCATGCTACCACCCCACCAATTCAATAAACTCCAGTTTCTCTGCATTACCTGCAGGGTCAAATACAGTACAAGCCAGGTACAGTAGATAGAACACCGGCCCTGGAATCAAGAGGACCTCAGTTCAAATTTAGCCTCAGACACTTACTAGCTGTGTGTCCCTGGGCAAGTCACTTAACCCTGTTTGTCTCAGTTTCCTCATCTATAAAATGAGCTGAAGAAGGAAATGGCAGACCACTCCAGTATTTTTGTCAAGAAGATCCAAAATGGGGTCACAAAGAATCAGATATGACTGAAAAATGACTGAACAACAACAAAATTGTGAAGAGGCATTCTTCTCACATCAAGCTTAAATCAGCCTTACTGAAATTTCCACCCACTGTACCTGGCTCCTCCCTTTTAGAAGAAATTGCTTGATAGGTCCTCCGATCTTTGAACCCAATAATTATGTCTCCTTTGAACCTTCATTTCAGAAGGCTGGGCACCTCCAAGTGCCTCAACCAATCCTCACGTTGGGTGGATTTGAGACTTTCACCATCCTCATCCTTTTCTCTAAGTGCTCTAGCTATCAATGTCCTTCCTGAATTGCACCACTCATAACTAGACACAATACTCTAGGCATGGTCACATCCGGTCAGGATACTAGGGAGCTATCACTACGTTGTTCCTAGAAGCTCCGACGCTGTCTATGCAGCCCCAGATTGCGTTAATTTTTTGGTAGCCACATCACAGTCCTGATTCATATTGAAACTGCAGTCCATAAACCCCCCCGATATTTTTTCAGATATATTGCTGTCTAATCATTCCTACCCCATACTCTACATGCAAAGCTGATTTTTTTTGTAAAGTATAAGCCTTAACATTTACTGTAATGAATTTCATCTTGTTTTAGATTCAGTCCAGTGCTATAGCCTCCTAAGGTCTTTATGAATGCTGGATCCCTCATCCAGTATGTCAACCATTGTTTCCAGCTTTTGTATCATCTGAAAACCTGACAATCTTGCCATCCAGGCCTTTATCCAAGTCATTAACAGAATTGTAAGCAGTACAGGGTCAAGGGCAGGCCCCTTTGGCACTCACATGGAGACTTCCTGCCAAATTGTTAGCAGCTACTCTTTGTTCCTGGCCTTTCTGTGAATTGGAATCCATCTGATGGCATTAGTGCCTGGTCCCCATCTTTCCCACAAAATATCATGAGATCAAACGCTTTGGTAAAATCTAGGTAAACTATGGGCAGCTAGGTGGCACCCGTCCTGGAGTCAGGGAGACTCACTTTTGTGAGTTCAAATCTGGCCCCAGACACTTACTAGCTGTGTGACCCTAGTCACTTATCCCTGTTTGCCTCAGTTTCCTCATCTGTCAAATGAACTGGAGAAAGAAATGGCCAATAACTCCAGTATCTTTGCCAAGAAAATCTCAAATAGGGTCACGAAGAGTCGAGCATGACTGAAAATGACTGAATGACTGCACAAGTAAACTGTATCTATGGAATCCCCTGGAATACCAATCAATAACCATAAAAAAAGCATCAAGTTTTGTCAGGCATGATCTATCCTTGATGAAGTTGTGGTGGAGCTTCGTAATCATCCTTTCAAGATATGTTCTGATACCAATTTAAAAAGGGATTCCTACAGTACTTAAAAAGCAAATGTCATCACTTTTTTCCTAGTTCAAATTACCTCAATTCCTTCATCCTCCTCTTAGAAATTTTACTTTCTATCCCATTATTCATTTCTTTGATTTTCCCTGAATCCAATAGAATTGTAGAGGCAGACTGTGGCAAGAGTGCTGAATGTGAAGGTCAGAGTTCAAATCCTGACTCAGACACTGACTGGCTGGGTTACCTCGGTTTCTTCATTTGTAAAATAAGAATAATAATACTTGCAGTCCCTACCTCAAGAGGTTTTGTGAGGAAGGGCTTTGTAAATCTTTAAGTGGTATAGAAATGTGAATTATCTTCTTTTTTCCCCTTTAGCCATCTTAAGAAAGGGAGCTAACACAATTAACTTTATTATCCAGGGACTGATAATCCATTTTGTGTACTACTCTTTGCTCCCTCCTCCCCGTTTCTGCTCCATACATATTAAGATACTTATCACAGTAAGTAAAATGTGTAAAAATATTCTGCCCACAGCTACTCAGTTCTTTGTAGAAATTAATCACAAAATTTTGTCTGCCCCAAAGACACCAAGCCCTAGACCACATATTGAACACTAGTTTTGCTCTGGTAGCCATTGGGAAGTTCTTTAGAGATTGGATCCAGTCAGAGCAAACCTGAGAAACCTGTCTATATAGTTAGGTGGCACAATGGTTGGAGCATTGAACCTGCAATCAAGAAGACCTGAATTGAAATCTGGCTTCAGAAACTTACTAGCTGTATATCCCCAAACAAATCACAAAACCTCTGCTGTCTCAGTTTCCTCATCTGCAAATGGAGTTATTAGCAGTACTTACCTCCCAGGGTTGTTGTGAGGATAAAATGAAATAATAGTTATAAAATGTTTTACAAACATCAAAGCTACATACAAATGCTAGCTATTATTAAAGTGAGTGGGTCTCCTTTCTTTAGATCTGACCAGGTGGAGCAGTGGATAGAGCGCCAGACTTGGAGTCAGGAAGACTCATCTTTGTGACTTCAAATCAGCTGTGAGATCCTGGGTAAGTCACTTAATCCTGTTTGCCTCATCCGTAAAATGAGCTGGAGAAGGAAATGGTGCAAATCACTCCAGGATTTTTGCCAAGAAAACCCCAAATGGGGTCACAGAGTCAGACACAACTGAAATGACCAAACTGGGTCTGACTGAACCAGGCTTAAAGATCCAAAGAAACTTACAGGATTTTGAAATATGGAAAGTAAGATGTGGAAAATACCTGGGCAGCCCCCTAGGTCACCTGTACCTAAAGGTTCTACAACAATTTCTTCTTCTACAACAACTCCCACAAAAGGTCATCTAACCTTTGTTTGAAGATACCACAAATACTTTCTGAGGCAGTCCATGCCATTTTAACTGTTCTAATCAACAGGAAGTTTTGTCTTACCTTAATAGAAGACACAACTTCCTACAACTACCACCCACTGCTGATCCTATACTGATTTCTGGGGCTAAAAAAAATCTATTCCCTTCTCAACATGGGAGCAATTCATATACCTGAAGACAAACATCGTTCCCCTATCTGTGTCTTCTCTAGACGCTCCTCGGTTCCCTTAATGGTTCCTTTTGTGACGTGGACTCCAATCCACATCATCATTTTGGTCGCCTTCTTTAGGTTCTCTCC